TAATAATTATATCTATACAACAGCTTTTGACTTTGGAGGGTAAACTAATGACTAGACAAGCTAAATAATTTAAATGGTAAATACTTTGATCCCTATCCAACAATTAGATATTTTTCAGTAACAGACGTTATCTTAATTACTTCCTGGCATCGTTATATATTTCTTAATTTTTCTCTCAATAAACTATGATATTCTCATCTTGAAAAATAGTTCCTCTAGATGTTCGACTCCATGAGATTCCGTTAAACATAAAGGCAAATAGAGGTACTGATGATAGTTCCCTGTACCTATACCCCTTGCATATGTCTGTATTTCAAACAGTTCTAATACCACTAAAATTTGAATTCGCTTTTCACACCCCCATTTATTCAAATTGTATAGCGATCTATTTTTGTTATGTAATCAATCAAGCAAAGGCGCATGCATATGTATATGCAATGTTGGAGCGGTGGAATATGCGGAAATTTTCTCTTTTTCTTCAATAAATTTTGTTCCTGGTTATGAAGAAAGGGGGTTATCAGGGTTCTCCCTCCAAATGGCAACCCATAAAGTAATTTATCCCTTTTTACTAAGTTGTTATTTTGCTTTAGAAAAAATAAGACCTATTCATGAAGGCTTACGTTCGCAGATCTATCATTGTACATATCCTGTCGAATTGTGTTGACAATAAAATAAAGAAACAATCAAACGATCAGACCTGAACAGTAAAAAAATGAAAAGAGTTTAGATGGGTTAATAAGGCTTTTCATATGGCGTATCGCCTAGATCTGTAACATATCAAGGGTCGCCCGATCATATGCGTTCTCCTACAACGGTGTCCACTCTGATGGTGATAATCAATAGCACTATGCAATGACGAGGCTTTTGATATTGTGAACTTCAGGCAGTCTTTCATCGAGCTATGGCCGTGAATTTTAATACATTGGGGGGTTCGCTGTTGATGTTTGATCAACTGTGACATATATGGTCATGAAACATAGATCATCTAACTGCAGGTGCACATCTTACTGATGAGTATCCTTATCAAACTTGTGGGTGTTCGAACCTCCACGATGAGTATGTGAAGATCGCGTTTGAGTACTGTAACTAGTTTTTGGTAATTCAGTCTTCCCATGGGTGTTAAATAACGTACTCAGCTCAATGGATGAGTGAGCAAGGCGATACCGTACGACCTCCCCTTAATTTTAACAAGAGCGAAATCTTCAGCAAACCCTCATTATTGAATTCGTTAGCTTCCTTGTCATCATCTTAGAGAACAGAGTATTCAACTATCCTTTCGTTTCATATAGTTTCTCACAATGTTCCTTCTGGATTAGGCATTATACGGGCAGTAATGGAATAGATCATGAAATCATCAATAGCACCAGCCAATACAAGCAGGGGATAGAATTGGAGAGACCAATCACTTCTTTCATCATCGCTGCTCTAGTGGGCTAGGCATTCCACTATTTTCCTTTGAATCTGTAGATGCTTGAAACTAAATGTCAGTATTGAAATCTTTAGTAACTGCAGGCATCCTTACCATATTATTGTTGATTAAAATTTGTTGCCAGTAAAATATTTGGATAGGGTAATATATATGTAAAAAGGAAAAGGAAAAGTGCTCTCTAAAGCCTTTCACCGAATATTGATGTAACTGTTATAATTAACTTGCCTGCAACTCAAGGTGTCTATAATAAAAATGAGTACAATAAGGCAAACATTTTGCGAAAGAGAACTCAGCTGTACATTTCGTTCAGAAAAATCAAACGACTCAGCATCCTACTGAGCAGCCTCCGTCTTTTTCAAATCAAACATATTATTCTTTGACGCGCACACAAAGTTATAAGGATAAAAGAAACCGTGATATTTTGTACAGATCTATTTAGGTGCCTCCTTATTTTTACCTGCAAACAAAAATTTTGGAATATATCCACATGAAGAAAACAAGTAAAACGCTATACGCTTCCTACAGATGCTAATTTTCGTGTTAATAAAAGACGTGTGCAGCGTAATAATAAAAAAAAAATGAAAACGCGAAAATAATAAGCAATCTATGAAGTGATAAAAAAGGGGGGAAAGTAACAGTAAACAAATGACTCGCTTATTTATGCCAATTGAATCCGCCAGGTATATTTGTTGGCGTGCATGCATCCTCTCGCAAAGAGTGAATGTCTAAGACTTTGTTAACATAAGTAGGACCACCATTCTGGGGGTTTCCGCCTCCCCGGCCGCTGCTTCGGCTTGCAACACGGGTAGGCGGTACCAATCCGCATGTTGCCATGTAGTCCTGGTGCGCCGTGTGGAGCATCCAACTGGTTGCTTCGATCGTTGCGCTGAAGAACCGCAGTTGCTGCAGTGTCAGCCGTGGGGTGGTGGTCGTCCCGTCCTCGCCGGACGTCTCGTCGATGTAGCTCTTCAACGATTCTCCGGAACTCGTCCAACGTGTCATGATGCCTTCATCCGCCACGGCCAGTAGGGTGTCAGGGGGGGGGCGCACCGCATTGAGCAGCTGACGTGCGGTGGGTCGGGTCGTCGGCTCTTCTTGCAGGAGCCC